AGAGAAGCCTTCCCGTGATACTCTCGAAAAGTGAATGTACGTCCTGCGCTACTCCTCTCTGCCCCACAATTCCCTCCCTTTTTTTTTTGTCGCAATTGCCTTTTTTTCTTTTTCTTTTTTTCTATCCCCCCTTTCTGCGTGTGCGAAGTAGAGAGGGCGACAGAGTGGGGGGGGGGGGGGCGAGGGTGAAAGCTGCTGCCGCTGTTGCTTTCTCATCATTTGTTTACACATCCTTTTTCTTGAGCTTGCTATCCATTCCAAGGGCGCGTTGGCTCTCACACTGCGCGACGAAAATGGGAGATGTTTACTATTGCGCGCCTCTTGCCGCTCGCGTGCGTCCAACGCGGTGGAAAAGAGACCAGCCAACAACAAAAGTAAAGGTTAAAAAATCAAAAGAGATAGGAGCATAATTACTCTTACAGTCAACGTTTTTTTGTTTTTGTTTTTTTGGCTCGAAATTTCTGCGCGCCCCTGTGGATCTTTCTTTTTCCCCAAGGTTGTTGGAGGCACAGGCACCCACACATAGAGGGGTAGAGAAAGAAATGACGAGGGAGGGGTGACTGGGCCCGTCCATTTTGTTTCCCCCGCAGCCGGGCTTAGCGGACTATGGGCGTGAGGAGAGGACGAAGCAGAAACTGGGGGGAAGGCACTTGGGCAACGCACGTGTCGCATCGGGTCACTGCCTGGCGTCACACGGCGGCATGAATGCAGGCGTCAGGGTACAGTAAATTACTGGCGTCTCACCCGTGTTGGGGAGCTGTTGTGCGAGAAGCAGCAGGAGTTTGCATTACCGCCGTCGTAATGCGTGCCCGCCAGGTATATGACACAACACAGCAAGGTCCATTCCGCGTACTTGCGTAGAAGCTGTCATCAGATACCGGTGTAACGGGAGATAGGGCGGATAATCCAAAATATATATATATATAATAATGCAACAGGAGCATAGTTTGAGGGTATGATGTTTACCTGCAACCCGAGTACAGTCGTCCTGTGGTAAAGATCGCGGAGAAATTGGGGTCAGTAAGACGCATTTTTAGCAATCAGTTTTTTTTAATTTTCTTGAATGGGCTATTACCGGCTTACTTTAGGGGGCGGTGTTTATTCCGCTGTGGGGAGTTGGATGCATTTTCCCATGCTTGTTTCTTCACCTCTCTTTGCATGCACTCTGTGTGCGGCCGGGAGTGGCGTGGGGCGAGGCGGTTCACTTTGGTTTTATTATGTCTCCTTTTTTTATTTTTTATTTTCTTTTTTTGCGAGCTGCCTTGACTTGTTAAGTTTGCTGCCTATTCCGTATTCGGTAGAAGTTGTTTGATGTCGGAGGAGAAGTTGAGGGAGGCGAGAGCAGAGTCGGCCGCCAACAGCGCCGCTGTCACGGATGGCGCCGAGACGAAGCTGGTCGTGCCTCGCAGCTTGGAGGCAGCGTCGAAGAAGCATCCGCTAAACACGTCGTGGACCTTGTGGTACGACTCTATTTCCACGTACGACAGTGAGCGGTGGGAGCTGTCCCTGGTGGAGGTGATGACGGTACGTACCGTGGAGGAGTTCTTTACGATGCTGCACTACTGCAAGCCGCCGCACGTGCTTCGCGTGTCGGCCCAGTACCACTTCTTCCGTGAGGGTGTGAAGCCGATGTGGGAGGATCCGAGGAACAAGGCCGGCGGGAAACTGTGGATTAGCCTGGACGACAAGACAGTTGGCGATGCCGGAAAGAAGTGGGAAAATGCCACCACGGCGGCGGCGGCGGCAGGTGGAGAGAAGGACGGCACAAGCGTCGGCACCAACAACAGCGGTAGTAATCACGGCGCCAAGGTCAAGAAGGACGAGCATGAGGCGGAGAAGAAGCCGGAGTTGGACGCAATGTGGGAGAATTTGCTGATGGCCATGGTGGGGGAGTACCTCGACCCGGAGCCGGACGGGGAGCACATCATGGGGTTGGTCTTGTCCAGGCGCAAGTACCACAACCGCATTGCCCTTTGGCTGCGTGACGCCTCCGCCAGCGAGGCGGTTGCCAGGATCGAGAAGAGGCTAGTGAAGGAGGCCGGCCTGCCGCCGTCGGTGAAGCTGATCTTCACTCCCCACAGCACCGGGAAGATGTAAAGGGGGAGCGGGAGCGGGGGAGGATTGAGGAAAAGCAACAGCAAGACGAAGGGATATACTGAACGCAGGAATGAATAGCGTTGGCCCTAGGGAAGTGCATGGAGGGGGAGCGGGGGGCTCCAACACCTCAAGGAAAGGGAGAAGCAGGCGGGTCGTGTTGAGGGGTGACAGTGACCAAGCGAAAGAAGGATGGAAAAAGTTTTTTTTGTTTGTGTGTTGTTGTTGTTTTTTTTATATTTGAGGAGGAGGAGGAGGGCAGCCAAAGGAGGGCTGGGAATGAAAACGAAGGCAAAAAAAAAAAAGCAATGGCACGCGCACACCTACGCTCGTGCACGTGCGCGCAGATGCATACATAACCACAACGAAGAAGCACGATGGAACACAAAGGGACGAAAATGAAAAAGCATTGAAGCAGAAGGAGGGAAGTGGCGTCAGCAGAGGCGCGATGCGCCTGCAACCGCGAAGAACAGGGCAGATGGCGACTGGTTGTCGGCTTTCATTCCTTCCCTCTTTTCTTCTTTTCCGTATGTCTCTTCTCGCCGTGTATTTTGCTGGGTATAGGTTGGTCACGAAAGGGAATGAGGTGCGGGGAACCATTCAAGTTATTTACTCCATAAAAAAAAATGAAGAAATGTGTGATGTGATTTCATCCTTCTTGTTTTCTCAGGCGCACGCCCGGACACGCGCCTCAGTTCCATCTATCCGCCCTGGATTTATTTCCTTTCGACATGTTCCCTCCGCGACATTCTTTTTTTCGTTTGTCTTTTCTCGCTGCTGTTGCAGGTGCGTTTTTTTTTGTTTCTGTGTGTCTGTGTGTGTGCCGCCGATGCTGTTGCTGCAGCAGCACATACAGCCGCACTGTTTTCTTCTTGTTTTTACGCCGCTGCTGCGGTTTTGTTGTTTCACGGAGCCCGTGGATGCCGGGGGCGGGCGGCAGAGAAGAAGAGCGGGGGAGGAAGCGGAGGTGCGGGCGGGCCCCCCGGCAGGCGCGGAGTGCAACAAAGAGGGAGAGAGAAAAGAAAAAAAAGGGGGGGAGGGGGTTTAGGGAAGCCGCGGCGCGCGAGGAGGTGACACGCACGCAAAATGAAAATGATTTAACTATAATAATAAAATGAAAAAGGCAGGGCATGCCAGGAGGGGGAAAAAAGAAAAAAACTAGGGGGCACAAATCCAGCAAATGGTACAACAGCAGGTGTGCGGCAATAGATCAAGGAACTGCCTTGTCTGCTGCTTCTTCTTTCGTTTGTGTGACTGCCCTTGTGCCGGTGGCCGAAATCATTGCGCCACGTTGCGCTGCGTGCTGAAGGGGGAGGAGAGCTGTGTGATAACTACACTTGTCGCAGGCAATGACTGTCTGCGTCTTGTTGTAGGCCTTCCAGTAGTGCAATGAATTTGTCCTTGTTTGTAGTGGAGTTTTGGCGATTGCCGCCGGGAACTGAAAGCAAAGGGTTCTCTGCGTCTGTATGTGAGTGTTGGGGGGCTCAGTTCCACTTGCGCCAGTTTGCTCTTTGAGGTCCTGCGCCCTCTTGACCGCCGCTTTTTTTTTTGTTTCCGGTTCGCCCCAACCACGCGGCACACATGCGCGACTTCGCTGCGTCCTCTTCTCTCTTTTTTTGTGTGCGTGTTGTGCTTCTCCGCATCTCCCATCAAAGTTGACGCTTTCTTCTGCTTCTCTTAGCGTCATGCGGAGGCAGGGTGGAAAAAACAGCAACGGAGTATATATTTACTTATTTTTTACATATTAAAGGAAAAGAAGAAGAAAAAAACAGAAAAAGGAAAATTGTATTTCTCCGGGGGGTATGTGCTACGAATACTTCTTTTTAATTAACATGCACATACACTCGCAAACGGGATAACAGCCAGGGCGTCGTGGGACACCTGC